ATCTTTATCCAATAAGATATGAGATATTTATAATCCAATAAAATATTATGACGAAAGGTCATTATACAACAATATATCCTCTCACATTATGAAAGATATTGTTGACATCTTTGATTTTGTTGATTGTTGATTCTTCTGGAAAATCTTGTTTATTGATCCATCCTCTAAATCTAGCTTTGCTATTAATTGTTTGTCATTTTTTTTCTGTTGCTTTGTCTTTTTCTTTTGTGTTATTGATTGAATATTTTGAATATTAAAATTTGGAATATGCATTTTTGGAGTGACTTTATTATTTGATGCTGATTGTATTTCTGCATAAGACTCGTGTAATATTTCTGAGTCAGATTGTATGATATTGTTATCAGTTATGTTTTTTTGATTATCAGCTGATGGGATACCCATTTTAGTAATTGTTGTTTCATTGTCTGCTTTGAATATATCACTAAAGAATAAGATTGTGTCATTATCGTATTTTTCTTCCATGAAAATTGTATTTTGTTCTGGAATCTGTTCTTTTTTGATCATACTGCGAGTGATAGGACAGGTAATATTATTATAAGATGTAAGATGCGATTTTTTTATTTTTCTATTGGTTAAATTAATTTTCAAGATTTTAGTGAAATTGTTATTGGTGGAAGAGTGTTTTTTTCTTGCAGATTTTTGTGGTGGAGTTAAAGATAATTTTTTGATTATACTGTCAAGAAAGGAACTTGGCTCTTCAGAAGAGATCATTTTGAACGTATTTGAAAGTTATTATTATTTATATTTTTGTATTTGTAATATTATATGTGATTTTTTTATATTTTTTGCTTTTATGTGTTTTTAAAGTAATGAGATAAAGATGAAAAGATTAATTCTATAGATATATATATGATTTGATATTAATAGATAGGTAGATATTTGTAGAATATTTTTGCTTATTGAAAGTGAACAAGATAAAACTTTAGCTTGGGAATAAAAGAACTTTTTTGAACTTGTACTATGACTTAGCTCATGATTAAGAGATCTATGTGGTTAAGATGTGAAAAAGAGTTTTATTATTATTATTATTATTATTATTATTATTATTATTATTCAAATTTAAGAAGAAAGAGGAAGAGAAGACTCTTTATTGTAAGACATGATTTTGATAATATCTAACTATTTGTTATAGTTAATCAAATTATGTTACTAATAATTTATATATAAAAAAAGTTATAATAGTCTGATAAAATAAAACAAAATAAATATCTGATCTTTTTTAGAATTCTGAACAGAATTCATCAAAATAAAACTCACTTAATTTGCTTTATTGTTCTTGCAAATCATTAGTAAAATATAGACATAATGATCAAAAAGATTATTTGACAAAAAAGATTATTGTTATTTATCACAGATTCTTGCTATAAAAGATAGATTTCTATTTATATAGTATGCATGAACTAAGTTTTGAAATCTTTCCTTGCAATATTGTCCAGTGATAATACTTTACCAAAAATTATTTCTATCCTCTCTACAAAGCTGATGATACTCTACATTTTTATATTTTTATTCATTAATAAATAAACGCATTTCTTTATTAATTTAATTTTGGCTTATTATATGTGTGTGTGTGTATGTATGTGTATGAATGTGTATTAGTACTAATAAAAATAATCTCAGACAGAAGAGAATTTAAAAAATATTAAATCCTACTTTTATAGCAAACTACTGCTCTCATGTTCAAGAAATCATTTTATAATAAATGAACAATATGTAATATTTTTGTATTAATAATATTTCATATCAAATACGTCAATATTTTAAATTAAATACATTAATATTTTATTATTAATTTACCTCATATCATGATCATTCCCATAATGAATTATAATTATTTCATAAATATTTCGTAATTATTCTGCAATTAAATTTATAATATATATACTTGGTATAATATTTTTTGAATTTTTCAATCAAGATTTTAATAATCAATATTTGATATCAATTTTAGCAAATTTTTAAAAAGAATGATATATAAATATTATCATAAGCTAATAAGAAAAGTAAAAGTAATATAATAATCATATGATTTAACTTTTATTTTTATCATAATAATAATAATTCATGCACATTTACACATAACAAATAAATTTCCTGCTTAATCAAAAATAGAAATTTCAATCAATCAAAATTTTCAGATTGATCTGAATTGATTAAATTATATCAGTTCAGATTTAGATACAACCTAAATTTGATTTGGTTTTTTTCAGATTGAAAAATCACAATCTAAACTGGAATTTTCAGATTAGATTCAGATCAGATTTTAGATTAATCCAAACTGGTTGGAGCTTTAATTATAATATTTTTGGTTAATATTATATTAAAAGAAAGTGAAAAGAAATAATTTATTTTGCTTTTGTTTAATAATTTTTTTATCAGTTTTATTGAAATCAAATTTAAAATAAAATTTAATATTTATGTATATATTATTATTGTTACAGTCAAACTTCTTATCACTCTCAGAAAAGCAAAATTTGGTGATTATAGAGAAAATGTGATTATAGAGATTTTTTACTATGTTTATATATAAATGAAAAAGCAAAATAAGGTAACTATAAAGAGATGTAACTATAAACAGGTGTGACTATAGAGGGATTTGACTGTATTATTAAGCATATTGTGATTCTTATGCATTGTAATTCTTGGTAAACAAAGTCATAATATTTTATTTTATATTTTACATTTATAAAGTACACATATTTTTGTACGTGATTAATTTTCATGATTTTTGTACGTCACAACAAATCCGATTGGTTGGTGATCTAAAATTTAATTGACCAATGACTATGATGGCGCCAATTGTGGCTGAACACTATTCCTAACGTTAAAGGTTATTTATCGTTCGGGTTAGGGTATGGGTTAGAGTAGAGAACAAAATTATATGTAAAATTGCCTTCCCGACATTTTTTGTTAATGCTTCAAGCCAGATTTTGACATCTGTTTTCCGTATTTTTTGCATTATCAAAAATTTGCGCATTCTTATTGGTTTGCGCTCACGTGAGCGTGAATTTTTGTCGGCGATGCTGGGGAAGTCTTTTTACGGTAATCTGATTCTTTAGAAATTACAGAGTGAATGTTAGGAAGGAAAGCACCAAATTAAACCTGATAAAAAATTTCTTTTATTAAGAACCGAAATAAACTGCCTGTCTGTTATATATACCCTTTTTCAACTTGGAATATTTACATTTCTGGGAAAAATTCAATAAAGAACGGAAAAAAATGAAACTATATACTCGATAAAATTCGCGTATTATATAAAATGAAATCCATTATACAAGATTAATAAGATCTTCCACCTCCGTAGTTTCCGATAATTGAAAATCATCAGGAAATAACACATGGTCGATTAATAAGATCTTCCACCTCCGTAGTTTCCGATAATTGAAAATCATCAGGAAATAACACATGGTCGATTACCTAACAATTATATCATATTATTGATTAAGGCTTATTAAAAAAAAATATATATATATATAATACTTACATGCACAACGCCATTTTGTCCAAGAACATCCATTATCAAAATATTAGCCTCGTCATTAACTTTAACCCTCAAATACTGATCACCAAACTGCACAGTATCCACATTAATAACACTACCTTGATAAGACTTCAACTTGAAATGACCTCGATGTCTTTTCGGTGGTCCGTGAGATTTGTGAGGATGACCATTACAACCATAACAACCACAACCATCACCTCCATGACCTCTATCACCGCAGCCATTACCACCATATCCTTTAACAGATGATTTTGTATTGTCAATATCACCATCAGTAACAACCCAATCAGAACTATATGCCAACTCTGCAGAAATATGATTCAACAATAATTTTTTTAGATCTTTTTCGCCACATGGACTAAACAGACGGAAGAGCGTACGTTGACCGAGTAGTGCAAACGCGGCATTTGTCGGGATGAAAGCAGTGAATGCTTTGTCGCTTTCGAAGATATCCGCGATGCCTACTTTTTGGATTGCGGACGTGAATGTGGAATAGTAGTTTGGGAATAAGAATGATTCTATGAGGACGTTTGGTGGTGGAAGGAGTACTATGAGAAGTAAACAGCTTATTAGTTCTCTTTGTTATACATAATAGTATTAATAATAAATAAAATCAGACCATCTCCAATAGTATGAAGAAGACCATTCGAAGCTCTCGAATTAAAATCGAGAACTTTAGCGAGGTTGATGAATACTCTGTTCCCCCAAAAAACACCAACACGAAGTTTCTGTGGCTCGTCATTCAAGCCTGGTTCGATGTATGAACTGTTTAGGACACGAGATGTTCTGACTAGGTATGAGCATAGTGTTTTTGGGACTACGTGATAGAGAATTAACTAGATAATTTTATTTCAGAATTCTGTCAAAAAAAATGTGATATACACAAGATACAAACAAAGTCATAGTAAAAATTATGAACCTTTCGGATAATTTCTTTACTAGGCCAAGTCTTCACGTGCTCGAATGCCGAATCGACAGGAGCGAATACGGTCAACTATACATTTTATGATTAAAAATTCGATTATGCTTTTATTGTTATCATTGTTATTATATTACTTACATTTGCCTTTGGTTTATTAAAAATATCTATTAGCTCATCATCATCGTCAATAAGTTTAGCAAACATGGTGAGTCGCTTGTCCGAGGTAATAACTTCGTACAGAGTTTTACTATTATTTGGATCATCGTCATCATAGTAGTCGTAGTCGTAGTCGTAGTCGTTGTCGTCATCGTAATCATCATCGTCGTCGTCGTCGGATTTAAAGTATTTCTCTTTAGAAGAAATTTTCCCCTCAAAAAAAGATTCAACGAAATTGCCAATATCATCATTGTCGTTTCCATTGATAGCCGAAGAAATTGTACCCTTAAGGAATGATTCCGTAATATCAATCATTGTTTCAACATCATCATCAATATTATGGTCATCATTTTTCAAAGCTGGTTTTTGACGATGAGTTTTATGATGTTTAGATGAATCATAATGATGGTCATTAACGATGTTTTTGTGTTTCCAATTAAGATGGCTGACAAGTCCTGCAGATACTATTGTAGTTGTCGTCGTCGCCAAGAGAACTATGGCTGCGACAGAGAACCGAAGAAAAATTTGCAAGTTCTTTTTATTCATGGGTTAAAATTGTCGTAAATACAAAGGAAAATAATATCAATATCGATATCGATATCGATATCTTCCCTCTATTTGATGTCTTATATACTGTATATTATTCGTTAACTCTAAATCAATTTGTATAACAAACAATAATAGAACGTGTGAAAAAGTGTTTTTAACGTTAAGCTACATGCACATGATGATATAATGGCGTCTATTTACCTGTTACTTTGTACGTATTTAGTATGTAAGAAAGTTCTATATCGTAGATGGTCAGTATTTGTGACTTGGAAAATTTCTTGGCACAATACGGACAGTGCGAATCATAAGTATCCGACCCCCTATTTCGACATAAATCATGTTTAATGCGAGTCACCATACGTAGCGATATCGATTTCGGAATTTTGAATTTCGGAAACCGGATTATCAGTATTTGTGACATTCTTCCTACACTTAATTTCGCCCAGGGCTAAATTGGATAAAATAGTCGTATAAAACTGGATAGTAAAAATGTTTGGAATAGTTCATAATATCAAGATTTACTATACATACTTTTTATAACGAATTGTTAAGTTATTACAAAATTCAGACTTCGTTATATCGAGATTTTAACCGAGTTGATTATAATTACGTGTATTTTTAAATCTGGTTCTAAGTGATAATTCTAGTCAGGACCCGGGCCCCTAACCCTTCAATTCGATTCTATGCAAAAATTCTTTATTGTAATTAGAACTTGAAAATTTATCAAATTAATCAGCATCAACAGCAAAAGAAAAAATTCCGTCATATGCTATAATGTACATGTATATATCAAAATTATTCCATCATCCTAATATGAAAGTTATACTAATGATAAATGTGCATCAAGCAAACTCCAAGTATAACAATAAGAAGTTAAAAAAAACGATAATTTCTTAAGTGTCCTTTATTGTTACTACTATATTTCCTTCACTTACTTCTAAATATACGTAAGTGGAATGTCAATCCGAAAACCCAAGAAATCAAAGTCTCTTGTTTCTTCACCTTCTCCACCACCACCTACCTCAGCGTACTTGCAGCTACCACCTGAAATCCTATTACAAATATTTAAAGAATCTCTTCGTGTCACCACCACCACCACCACCATAGACGAAAAGTATGTTTACGAAATAATGTTACCAAAAAGTCACACACATATAAATTAACGAAATATTGTTACGAATTAGCCGTAATCTCAAGGACCTTGTATTGTTACAAATTGTCTGTAAGCAATGGTACTGTCTAATTGAGATTGCCCTTGTTGAAGAATTTGTAATTCCTTACGATTGGATCTTATATATAAAGGTAAGAAGATATACATGTACATTATAACGATAATTCTTTTTTAAATTAATTTGAGAAAAATCATGGTACATGTAATATGATATTTTTAGGAACCAAATCGCAAAACAATAGAGTTTCCATTCACCCTGTCGTTGGCATCCTCTCCTTCCTCCTCCTCTTCCTTCGTCTTCGCTAAATTCGTGTGCCATTCTATCCCAAATAACAACGACAACGACAACGGCAACAATAATTATTTGGATGCATACTTTTTATTTACTCCAGAAAATAAACCATGTATTTATAAAATGCGGGACTGTCATAAGTATTTCTCGCATCCTACCATCAGTTTCGGGATTAGACAAAGCTATCGTCTTGCGTGGTTTCGTATTGGTAAATTAACACAATTGGGAGAATGGATGGTGCCAATTAGAGGTGAGTGTGCTGATTTGCGAGGAAATTCAAAAATAGAAATGATTTATACGCGTGGCGAGCCTGACGTGTTTAAAATTGTGGGAGTCAAAATCGCACTTGCTCGAATATGAATGAAAGAAGGAGGGTAATGATAAAAATAATGGATTGCTGATGTATATAATTTATTTTATTTTATTCTTATAGAGATTTATATAGAAAAGATAGAAAATCAGATTTCTTTTAACTATAATGATCACTTTTCGCTGTAATGCTGAATTAACTTTCTTTTCAATAGTAATAAATATTAAGTTTATGTAATTCACGAATCAATATTACTACCAAAACATTTTTTGTGTTCTTTAAGCAATAAAACTCCTAAATTTGGTATTAACTATCCAAATTCAATATTTTGCTTATTTTAAAAAATCAAATAGAGGAAACTGTAGCATGTACTTTACTTTCATATTTCTTCGATTGATTATTCTAAAACGCGTCATTCAAATTTCTCCGATTCCAGCTTTTCGGGATAAAACAGCGGGGGTCGAGTCGTGAATGTTGCTAACGCCGGACGAATGTACCCGATCCGGTAGATTTTTCAGCAAATTCCCATCACGATTATCAACAAAGCTACAGATTTCCAGATCCATCACGATGTCAACAATGCTGCAGACTTCCAAACTCATGGAACAACTTTCATATATGATTGGCTAATGTAAATCAATTGACTGAGTAACTAATTTCATATATGATTGGCTAATGTAAATCAATTGACTGGGTAACTAATTTATACACTTTAAAGTACTTTTTGAGAATATAATAAAAAATCATCGTAAAAACCATATTCACTGTGCAAAAGAATCAACAAAGAATCCTTATTACTGGATCATGTGTAATTATTATATGTCAAAGTCAACTCAATGGAAAAAGTTAACTGAAAATGTTATTATAAAAGGACAAACTAACAATACTTTACCAAGTTATATTAAAATAAATGATACGATTTGTTTAAATTGTTATAATGGAATCGTAACGAAAAGTTCAGCTAACATGTTCAAATATATATGGAGCAACTTGAAACTAACGAGACTGACGAAGTTTTGACTAATGAAATCGAAAGTACTAATTATTTGTCTTTTTCTAAAGCAATAGACGAATTTTGGATTATTATGAAAGAAAATGCACAATTAAGATTTTTTTTGATGAATTATATTTTTCATCTAATCCATTGTCAAAAAATAAAGATTCACAAGTACAGATAAAAAAGCAACTACTATTTGTATGTTATTTTCTTTGTGAAATTTGAAATAAATTTGTTAATAATGCTAAGAGGAAGTTGATAATGTATTTGGTAGATGTGACTACAACATCTCATACAATTTAACAATGTAAAACTATTATATTTGATGAACATGTTGAAAATATTAATTTTACACTTGCAGAATATGTAAAAAAAAAAGCAATGGTATTAAATATTAGAACATTCATATTATTATTTCTTTTGTAACACATCTGACAACAATTTTAATAAATTCAATTATAACATAAAATGTAATTTCTAATATAAATACTATATATACAATCCCAAATTAATCAATGCTAAATTAATAAAGTTGAATATAGAAAAAAATTTATGATGTTTCATGATCTTTTGGATAATTAACATTAAGAATTTCGTATAATTGATGAAAATACTAAATTAAAAAAGTTAACTATATATAATTATAATTAGTAATTCGGACTAAAGTATTTAGCACTAAATAATCTGCAAAAAAATTTTTAAATTAGAATTTAGAATATTTAGGACAATTTCAAACTTATATAATAATTCAAAGTTTGAAATATTTAGAACTTTGAAAAGTACTTTAATCCAAATCATTAGTTATAATACTAAATTAAAGAAAACAGAGCATTTATTTGATGAAAAATATTGTTTTTATAGATTTATAAGAAAATAATTTTTATTTTTTAAATAAATATATTAAATTTATTAATATTATTATAAATGTTCTATCTATATATAAGAATATTTGCCAAAATCTCTTAGTAGTCATCTAAATTTCATCAAAATTATATATCAAATTTTAAATCTGTTAAAATTAAAATTTTATTAAAATTTTAATAATTAATATATAACTTATCAAAACTTTGCTAAAATATTTTTGAAAAAATTTTTACAAACATTCTTATTTATATAGCAATACAGTCAACCTCTTTATAGTCATCACCCTCAGGAAAGCAAAATTTGATGATTATAAAGGGGATGTGACTATAGAGAAATTTTTTTTACTATGTTTATATGTAAATAGAAAAGCAAAATGAGTGACTATAAAGGAGTATAACTATAAATAGATGTGATTATAGAGAGATTTAACTATATATTCAAAATAAAAATATAATTCTTATCATTACTAATTGAACTAAACAAATCATTTTAGAATATTTATTTTTCATTATATTTTATATCATAATTAATCAAATATTATTAATTCTATTTTGTCTTTTTTTTTATTATAGGTCTTTTATATATTTTATTAAATAGTTTAAAATTAATATTCCTTCAATATCAATTTTTTTTGATTATATATATATTTTATATTATAATAATTTAGTTATAAAATATTTTATATAAATAAAGAATCTTTTGGATAAATTAAAAGCTATTAATTAATTAATATAAAATCTAGCTAGTCAATAAATTGCTTTTTATTTATTATTTAAAAAAATTATATATTAATTAATTTTATAATTATTAATCTTGTTATAATACTTATCTTTATTACATATTATTGAATACTCAACCAGGTTGCTATAGAATATTAGTACTGTATTGCTATAAAACTATTTATATATTAAGTAAATATAAAGAAAATATTTATTAGTAATAGTTATACCCTATTTTATTAAAATAAAATAGAAGAAAATATACTGCATATTGATTCTAAAATAATTAAATTAAAATAAGTAAAATTGAAGAACTAAAACAAATATTGATTGAATATTGTTATAGTCTAAATATTTTATAAATAGTTATTTTTATTGATATTTAATCACTTTTATTATATTTAATATTTTTAATAATTAAATTTAATTAATTTAATCATTTATTATTTAACTTATTTTATTCTTATTAAATGAATTTGAAATCATGTGATTTTTATATTGTTACAAATCAAAATATATCATCATAATTATTAGTATTATTATTATTTATTATTTATTATTATTATTATCATCATTATTATAATTTATTCCTTATTATTTCACATGACAAAATTCACATAACGTTTTGTTATATATTATAATGTTCAGTAATATGTGTTAATATTTTGTAACATATTGTAATAAGATATAATATTGTCACTATTTGATATTTTGAATTACATATAAAATATTATGTGATATAATTTTGATAATTATTTATATTTTCTTTTATATTTTTCTATTTATAATTTTATTTTTAA